CTGAGGGCCTCTTACCAGCCTCCGAGTGTCCTTGCCAGCCTATGACGGGCCACTTTCCACTTGCAGGCCATTTTGCAGGGCCACACACATGCCAATGATGGCTCCACCAGTGTCTCTAAGCCCTAAGACCCCGCAACGGCGCCTGTGAGGACTCAACACCAGCGCATCTGACGGCGCTGGTTTCACTGGCACCTCTGAACGCGCCGCACACCGGTGACTCTGAGGAGCTCGCTCGCTTCGCTCGCTCGTAAAATACCATGTAAATTAGGCATTAGTGTACATTAGGCACACTCCTCGGGCATAAATGATACTTTTGCTTGCCAATTTTCCACATTTTCTCATGCAAAGACCGTTTTAAAGAGACCCGTCTGCCAGTGAGACTGGACCCACCGTGCCTCCCTCCTCCCATCGAAAGGTCCTGGGTACATCCTTGCCTGAGCTGACCCCGGGCGCCCGGGTAACTCGCGGGCCCGGGGTCAGGTGACCAGCAGGTGACCCCCTCTTGGGCGAAATTCTGGGTACGTGTCCGACATGCATCGTACATAGTCCTGTGGATTTGATTCATTGATTGATTCATTGATGAATCATTGACTGATTCATTAAATATAAGTTATAAGCTGGATCTCTAGTCTGTGATCCCGCATCGTATCAGATATAACGACATTTCATGTCGATGTGCCTAAAAAAATATGCGAATATACGTGAAAAAGGAGTGCTGCTCCCGCTCCTACACATCCGGGCCAATCAGTGACCGGCCCCTGCTTCTAGCCACCCGGGGCCGGTCGGCCGGCCGGCAGTCAGTCGCTGCCCGGGGCTGATTTCTGAGGGACCTGCAAAAATGTTTATTAATAAAATGTTTTACGTAATGAATTAGATGATTAGGCATATGTACCGGCTCTGAGTCGCATTTGAGAAAAAAAAACAGCCTAGCGTAAAAATATATATGTTTTGAAAATTAAGGTGGTACCGAAATAATTGTTTTACATGCATTGACAAACCAATTGCTCAAGCTTCAAACCAACCGAAATATAGCCCCGTGGGCCGTATTTTTTTTTTTTTGGGGGGGGGGGGCCCTTCGGCATGGGGGGCCCAGTTCGAAGGTCGTGCCCCCCCCCATTCAAAAATCCTGTGTGCGCGCCTGGACTGACACAAAACTATGGATTATGACGTGCGATCACATAAAATCACTAAAACAGAGCGTTTTTAACTTGAAACAAGCGCTTTTTTGGATATATGTGTTGACAAAAAAAAAAAATAAGTGAGGATCTATGATCTCACTGGATCTCAAGCAAAAAATGAGACTCGGATCTGTGATCCCTACGGATCTCTGGATAAATTACAGAGCTGGATCTATGATCCCGTCGGATCCGAGATCAGGATCCATGGGATCAGATCCCAGATCCATTTTCTCGGATCCATGCGCATGTCTGCTTTTAACCTATAATTTCTGTTGATTTCCTTGAATTGTATAATTTCGAAACCATGAGTGGTCGTTCGAGCAAAAGAGCTTACACATCTGGGTGTCAGAAACGAAAGCGGAAGATGCTACGAGAATTGGAAAATGACCAAAGACATTCGAAGAAACTCTCCTCATATTTTCGGCCCAGTGTCAGGTAAATAGGTACTGCACTACATGCATATGCAAATTGCATTGTGCTCACCGAGTAACTGTACTACTCTGAAATCTGAATATTTATGTATTATGGTAGTGGTTGTACTCGTGTCCCGTTGTGCTCATATGCAAGGCCGACGTCATGTGCGCATGTTATGTATTACTCAAATTCTTCATAGTGTATCCCATGGCCCATGTCCCACTGATGAGTACAGCCGCCCCATGGGTGTAGGAGCGTTACGAAAAGTGGGGGGGGGGGGGCAGACCCCGGTCAGGGAAACTTTGATTTTGATCTCACTTTGTGGGAAATTCAATAGGTACCCCTACGGAAAAAAATTGAGGGCAGTTTTGAGCTCCTCTTGCTGAATCATGTGCTGCTTTAGTTTTGTCTTTGGAGCAAAATCAGAGAATTTAGCATGAAACTTGGCGGAAAGGGGGGGGGGGGTGGCCCCCTGTCCCTCCGTTACTACGCCTGTGCCCGCCCCACTCGTTTTGCATGGATATCTTTTAAATGGCTAGGGTTAAGCCAAGGGCACAATATTTTCAATAACCTCTCCTGAATCTATATTACGTCTAAACGTCTAAGAGTTTCAAAATGGTCTAGAGTTGATAGGTTGCCGTAAATGACACCTGGGGGCCCCCACCGGTGGGGGCCCCCCGAGAAAAAGTCGGACCAGTTTTCCTTACGCGTCGACGCCCCTGGGTTTTGGCCATTGCCAGGTGGTGCGCCACAGGTTCGGGTGGTCTCTTGGGAAAACGACGATAGCTTATAGCAAAAAGTAGCTAAGGACATGTGGTCTTCACCATTGAATAGAAAAAACATCGGCGCATGAAATGACAAAAAAAATATGTGCACGTGCAAAAACGTTTAATTGCTTAAGGCACTTCCATTACTTAATAGTCAACCCTAGTACTTTTGATAAAGGAGGCGAGGTAGAGTAATGACATTGTTTTGAAGGTGTTAAGGTCATCCATACGGATCGGTTGATTACCATCATGATCTTTTCAAGTAAGAGCATGACCTTGATCTGCGGTCACATTTTGAAGTTGAACTTTATTATGTGAAATTATAGGTAGCTCATTCGATGCATGTTAACGAGAAAATGAGGACAAAGTAAAATGTAAATGTCTAATAGTTTTTCTCACCAAAGTTCTTGCAAAAATTTTTAGCAAAATCATTTTGATGAAATGTGACTATTTAGATACTGTTGCCCTCTGCTCTGTTGCGAAACCGCTGACATGAGGCATTGAGGTCAAATCTTAAAAGCGAAAGCGTTTTGAAAGGCCTGTCGAAAGAATTGTTCCGCGAAGCTCTAGCTCTTTGGTTTACGAGTTATACGGTTATTTGTGAAAAATATAAAACAATTTTTTTTTCGTCGTAATCTTATCTTTGTGTTTATCATAATTTTATCATTATTCTATCTTCAATGACCTCAGCGATAACCTAATCGAAAAATGGCCTCTACGATTCTGATGCATCCCACAGCTATCCGTTGCTTTTTCTCGTCTTTCTAGCCTTCTTAAGTTTTTGTTAGGTGATCATTGATCAGGTTTGGCCGATACGCCCTGATTGCGCGCGTTAGAGCTATCGAACCCACTTTCAGCGCGCTATAGTTTATATGTCCTCGAGTGTCAAAAAAGGGGAAACTTTTCCTTCAATGAACATGACGACGTGGGCTTTGGTCTGAACTGCAACATGACTGAAGTAATTTCTCCATGATTTTCAACGCTCTTTAGAAGGCCGCGTACCGCCGCGCTTGTCGCCATGTGACCCTGGAGTCAGGTTAGAAGAGGATATTCAAACACCCCTCAGGGGCGTAAAACTGGTAAGCCTGGGGCCCTGCTCTGCGGGGCGCGGTCTAGCTGGGCTAGGGCCAGTTTGGGGCATTTACAAGCCCACTCAAGAGTCTGCATAGAGCCTTCCAAGACTTGGGGGTTTAGATATCGACAATCGACATGGTCTTTTGAGACCTGCGTGGCGGCTATCAGAGGCCGGTGGGCCCCTGAAAAGCCGGTGCAGGAGCGTCAGGTGTCAGTTTGGAGCCATCACGGACCTGCGTAGGGTCCTGATGAATACCTAGGCGTCAAACCCCTAGACGTCGGGGTGGGGCCGGGCGATGAGGCAAGCACAGGCCTGAAGAGAATAGGAGTTTTAGATGTCGGCTCGGCATCTTAAGGGCCCTGCATGGCTATCTCAGAGGCTGACATATCGTCCTGCGGGACCTCCATGAGCCTCAAAAACCTCTATGGGCCCCCTCACGTATGGGGTAGGCTTCCGAAGCCAGTCTCCTCCAACCATGGAGAAAGAAGAGTCCACGCGGAGTAAACCGTGAGAAGCTGGAGAAGTTGAGGGCCACACTCCTGCCACGGACACCGCTGCATCGGCACACATTCTGGAAAGGGTCCTCGAGCGCCAGGGAGCTGAATGGCTAGCTAGTGACGACGCAAAAGCGGATGACGGCCAGGTCAACTTCTGAAAGAGTTCACAACGGGATGTCTAGTAGTTTACCAGAATTTTGGCGCCATGTGGCGTTGGCATTTCTTGCTACTGCTTCATTATCCATTAAATTCTCGCTAGGGCACAGTCGCTAGGGCCCAAAGTCTGGAGGTAAAGAAGCTTAGCGCGATCAATTTTCCCGTACAAAAGCTTACGGTGTTTCACGGTGAGTCATACATGATTCCGTAAACGATTGTAGTGACGTGCATTGTGTATTATGTTTGTGTATTTTGAATGGCCCAACTTGATGGCCAAAACAGACTGGATTGTGCAGGACTACGGACTGAAGTGCTGCTCGACCAAGCGGGCTTCGGCAACAATAAACAATGACTGCGGATATCAATCAATCAATTTCATTAGGCAAACATCATCATATAGGGGCAAAGCATATTGGCATGATACAAGTCATACGTCTAATACAGTTACACAATACACATCATATTCATGTGACACAAAGTACAAACAGCTGTACTATGTAGCCTGTTCAGCGCAAGCTAGTAATCCCGCAAACTATGACGGGAGTGCTACGCACTACGCAGTGTTGCCGCGGCCAGATTTTACCGAGATTTTACAGCGTACCAGGATCGCGTCCAAATCGTACCAGATTGGCTGCGTACCGTACCAGATCGTAGTAGGTCAAAATGTTAATAATTCAGTACTATAAAAATAGCCATCAGTCGTGTTTCGCTCTTCAACCGACTTGTTACCTTCGCTGCCGCTGCCTTCGTCTCGACACCAACCACGTTTGTAAGTCACACTTTGTTGCACCTCACCACTACCAACACAACACAAGACAACACCCACTTACGCTCATACAACACAACCACTACCCAACACCACCCCCTCAACACCCACGCACTCCCACACCCACCTCACTTTCCTACCTCCACCATGTCCCGTAACCCTGCCTCATCCTCCTTCCAATTCTCCTCTACTCCTGTCCCATCCTTTGTCCGCATCCGCCGTATGGACGGCTCCCCCCTTTCCGACCTTTCCCCCTGGGCGGTGGGGGACGCACTCTCGTCGGCGATCGGGCGCTGTCCCCGTGCCCGGCCGCTGCGAGGGGGCGACCTCCTCGTCGCCTGCGAGGCGTCGGAGAAACGAGTTTTGCTCGGTCTCCGGCGAATCGCCGGTGCTGAGGTGAAGGTGTGGGCTCCGCCCCACCTGAACCAAAGCCAGGGGTCCATCTACGCTCCATCCCTCCAGCACCTATCCTTGTCCGAACTGGAGGAGGGCTTCTCCCGGGTGGGCGTTACCGCCGTGTATCGCCCGCCCCGCTCTCCAAAAGTTCTTATCCTAACCTTCTCCACCGCTGAACCTCCCCCCTACATCCTGGCCGCCTACCTATCCTTCCCCGTCCGTGCAGTCCCTCCTAAACCTCTCCGCTGCCGGCGGTGCCAGCGCTATGGACACCGCCAGCAGCACTGCCGATCCGACTCCCCCACGTGCTCCAACTGCGCCGAGGCGGGGCACGAATCCTCCCAGTGTCCTGCCGAAGATCCTCTGTGCGCAGGCTGTGGCGGCGCCCACACCGCGAACGACCCATCCTGTCCCCGCTGGATCTCTGAGACCCAGGTCACCCTCCTCATCCGTAGGGGCTGGAACCCCCGCGACGCTCGCGCGTACGTGGATTCCCACCCCTCATCCAATCCTGTTCCTCCCCCTTCGACCTCAGTCAGACCCTCCCACCCTCCTCCGCTGACTGAGGCGGAGTACCCTCATCTCCCTAAGTCCCACTCCTCCTCTGGCCGGTCCCCTGCACCTCCTCCCTCTCACTACCGCCCAACCCCTCCTCCCCGACCGGCCAGCGTGCAGAGCGGTGCTGCCCGCTCCGCGCAGCGGCTTGAGGTGGCCGCCCAGACCCCACCCGGGGTCTCTGACCGGGACCCGCGACGACGCCCGGCCAACCCACCACCGTCTGAGGAACCGACTCCCAGGCCGGGCGCCAGTGTGGGAACCGAACCCGAACCTGTGCCCAAGAACCGACCGCCACCACCACCTCGGTCCTCGGACGAGTCTAACGACTCATCCCAGTCGGCCTCGACCTCAAACTCCACCAGTCCCACCTCGCCACCGAAGACCCGCCGCACACGCCTCCAGTCGGCTCCCTCCGACTTTCACTTCACACTCCGACACAAACAGTAAACACAGTACACAGCAGTAATGCCTCACCACTCCACCACACATAGCACACCCACCCACAACAAAAACATAACACTCTTGCAGTGGAATGTGAGGGGAGTCCCTGAAAATTGGTCCGAACTAAAACAAGCATTAATTTCTTCTTCAAAATCGATCATTTGCCTTCAAGAGTCTCATTTAAAACCATCTGATCCGTATAATTTCGAAATTGCAACCTATTCTCTCATTCGGAAAGATGCACTTTTTCAACCTCTCAAAAGAAGAGGAGGTGTATGCACATACATTAAAAGTAATATAGCCTTCCGAGAAATCCAAATCACTACAACTTTTGACATCCAAGCATTCGAAATCAGCACCAATCAAAATTTTCTAACCGTTATAAACACTTACGCCCCGCCGGACATTAATTTTTCAGAATTTATCCAAGACTTAGAAACCCTAGTAACCTCTCTGACATCCCCTTTTATTTTATGTGGAGACTTTAACGCCCACCACCCACTATGGGATAGAAGTAGAAGACTTCCGGACTCCAAAGGCAAAATTCTGTTAGAACTCGTAGATAACCTTCAGCTAGTCATCAACAATGACGGCTCCCCTACACTCCCTGCAAGAACCACAACACACTCTGACACCACACCAGATATCACAGCCACCTCATCAACACTCGCACTTTCAACAACATGGGAAACTTCACCAGACCCTTACTTCAGCGACCACTTACCAATCCATATCACACTAGGACACACTACCACACAACACCGTTCTTACACACGATTTAACCTTAAAAAAGCAGACTGGTATTCCTTTACAAACACCCTAGAAAACGTGATTGAAAGACAACCCACACCCGAACAATTCATTGAAAGTATTACAGAAACAGCAAAACTACACATACCACAAACAAAACCAAACAACAATGCCAAACCAAAATCTGTACCATGGTGGAACTACGATTGCCAACGAGCTATAACGTTCAGGAACACGGCTAGACACAGATATGAAAAATCTCGCTCTGAAGAAGATTTTATTAATTACAAAAAAGCAAAAGCAAGATGTAGAAAAGTAATCAAACAAGCCAAAAGAACATCTTTCGAAGAGCTCGCAAACTCCTTTAACAGATTCACTCCTCTCTCTAAAATTTGGGGCATACTTAAAGCATTTAAAGGACTGAAAACCTCAACACAAAAAGCGACATACATTATCCATAATAACAACACATTTACAAACCCACAAGAAATTTCAGAACAATTTTCAAATTTTTATAGATCAATATCCTCGAGCATCCCCCCTCCATTACCCTTAATTATCCCAGAAGAAACCACCACCGAAGTTTATAACCTCCCATTTACTGTATACGAATTAGATAACGCCATCAACAGAACCGGAAACTCATGTCCTGGCCCAGATCAAATTCACTATCACCTATTTAAGAACCTGGGACAAACCGCTAAATTAGCTCTCCTCTACTCATTAAACTACGCCTTTTCCTCGCACTCCTATCCTGAAAACTGGTTCCACGCCCATATCATTCCTATAAACAAACCAAACAAGGACCCCACCAAACTAAGTAGCTACCGACCTATCTCCCTCACAAACACCATTCACAAAATTTTTGAACGGATTATTAAAAACAGACTCCTCTATATTATTGAAAAACAAAACCTCATATCCCCAAATCAGTGTGGTTTTCTACCCGGCAGATCAACTTTCGATAATTTAGTCAAAATAACAGCCGATATCAGAAATGCCTTCCACTCCAAACAATATACAGCAGCACTCTTTCTTGACCTAAAAAATGCCTATGATACCCTTAATATCCAGCCTCTCCTTGACTACCTTAAAAACAAAATCAACGGACACCTTCTCCATTATCTTAATACATACCTAACAAAGAGATCCTTCCAAGTTAAATTCCTCAACCATATATCCGATCCCAAAACTCCAACTTCCGGACTCATGCAAGGCTCCGTTCTCAGCCCTATCCTCTTTATCCTGGCCTTAAACATTACTGTCAAATCCGTTCCTGCCCCATCCAAAATTGCAATATACGCCGACGACATAGCTATCTGGTCCTCACATAAAAGTTCCAACACAGCACTTAGTAACCTAGAACGTGCCCTAAAAACTGTACAGAACAACCTCCGACCTCTCAATCTCCATATATCATCCGAAAAAACTCAATGCGTAATATTTGGCAGCAGAAAACCAATTAATCCATTGCCCCTCCAAATTGACAATAGCAATATCGAAATTCGAAACGACGCAAAATTTTTAGGAATCATATTAGATCGAGGACTCACTTTCAGATTACACATTGAACAAATTTCAACTAGAGCAAGAAAACGGATCAATATTCTCAAAGCACTCTCTGGTACAGATTTTGGCGGCGACCGGAAAACCTTACTTAACATTTATAAATCCATCATTAGACCGATCCTCGAGTACGCATCTATCATATTTGAAAATATAGCTAAAACACACTTGCAGAAATTAGACGTTATCCAAAACACATGCCTACGAATTATTACATCCGCCTATCGAACCACCCCAACTCAAGCCCTCCATATTTACAACAACATTTCAACTCTCACCGATAGACGTACCGAATCACTACTCAGATACTTCCACAAAATTCAAAAAACAAATAATCACCCCTGCATCCCATATATAAAATACAGATCACACCGTAGATACACAAACAACATACATCAGAAAACATCATACGGCAGCAGAATCACTACACTAACAGACACAGTCAACATAACACTACACTCACCACCACACACGAACACACCGGTGGCGTGGTGGGCCTCCAAAAGTCCGCAAGTTATCCTTCTCATCGACCAACCAAAACATATGTACACCAACATCGAAATTCAGGCACTTCACCACCAAATTATCTCCGAACATCTAGAATATACTTTCTTCTATACTGACGGATCAAAGAACGCACAGGAAAACAAAACAGCGGCAGCGGTGGTGAGTCGGTTTAAACAGGAGCAAACCACGATTCTCAAAACAAGGCTGCCAGGATGGGCGTCCATTTTCTCCGCAGAACTGTACGCCATCCTGGCGGCCTATGCCCAAATAAAGCTAAAAAACATCTCTAAATCTATGATTCTGTCAGACTCCCTTTCGGCTATTACTTCTATTCACGAAAAACATTTAAACAGTCATCCCCTTATCAAAGAAATTATCAAATTACAAAGCCAAATCGTATGCCCCCCAAAATTAGTATGGATCCCCTCCCACACCGGCATTCATCTAAATGAGAAGGCTGACGAACTCGCTAAAGATGCCTTAAATCAAACCAATATTGGCAAAATCCCCTACTCATCTCAAGACTTCCTTTCCCTTCTCAAAAATAAACTAAACATAAAATGTCAATTAGAATGGGATAAGTCCAAGTGTTTCCTGAGAAAAATTCAACCAGAAATAGCAGTAAAAACAAAAAATCAGAATTCAAAATTACAGGAAATGTGTTTAGCCCGCCTCCGCCTAGGACATTCATATCTCACTCATTCCTACCTCCTTCTTAAATCAGATCCCCCAAACTGCTCAACCTGTAACTCGCTAATCACGGTTAAACATATATTAATCGAATGCCAAAACTACAACCAACAGCGACAAGAGCTGCAAAACTATTGTTTCCGAAACAACCTATCCTTCAATATCACAACCCTTCTAAACGACCAAAATCCAGACATCACAAAGCTCCTCCTTAAATTTATTTTTGATTCAGGCATCTTTAGAGACTTATGATCACTTTAATTACTCGACCTTACCTCCAAGTGAGGTAAGGTATGATATTAAAATTCCCATTCACCGGTGCACATTTTCAGCGATGTGCACATTTGTGAATGAGAATTTAACACCTCTCCTCTATGACGTAGAGGAGACAAGGAAAACAGTTAAAAAAAAAGCTGAACAAAAGAGGAGAGAAAAAAAGAGGAAAAAAAAGAGAAAAGAAAGAGGGGGAAAAAAAGAAAGAAAAGAAAAGGAAAAGAGAGGAAAAAAAAGAGAGAAAAAAGAGAGGAAAAAAGAGAGAAAAAAAAAGAGAAAAGAAAGAAAGACGAACTGTTTGTTTTGTACCTGTATGCATGCCTGTGTATAACATGTACGTTTGTGCTCTCTCTCTCTCTAAAAAAAAAAAAAACATTACAAAAAAAAATAAAAAAAAGATAAAAAAAAAGAAAAAAAAGAAAAAAAAAAGAATGGGAAAAAATAAAAAATAAATAATAAAAATGAGAAAAATAAAAAAAAATAATAATAATAAAAGAGAAAGAGAGAGAGAGAGGAAAAAAGAGCAGCACAAACAAGCAACAGCAGCAGCAAGCAGCGACCGAGCCGGCCTGGGGGGCGGTGGCAGCACCAACTTCAACTTCGAGACCTGCCGTCCGCCTCCCGGGCCGGCAGAAACGCCTCAACAAAAGAGGAGCCACGGGCCGGCCGGGGGGCGGGGGCGGCACCATCACCTGGAGACCTGCCGCTCGCCTCCCGGGCCGTCAGAAAACCATAGGGGGGGGGGGGGGGGGCGGGTCGGCCTGGGGGCGGAGGTGACACCAACTCCAACTTCGAGACCTCCGCTCGCCTCCGGGGCCGCCCCCCCCCCCTGCCACCACTCATCAACAAAGAGGAGCCGCGGACCGGCCTGGGGGGCGGGGGCGGCATCGTCTCCAACCTCGAGACCTGCTGCTCGCCTCCCGGGCCGGCAGAAAAGCACAGGGGGACGGGTCGGCCTGGGGGCAGAAGTGGCACCAACTCCATCTTCGAGACTGCCGCTCGCCTCCCGGGCCGCCCCCCCCCCCCCCCCCCACCACGCATCAACAAAAGAGGAGCTGCGGGCCGGCCTGGGGGGCGGGGGCGGCATCGTCTCCAACTTCGAGACCTGCTGCTCGCCTCCCGGGCCGGCAGAAAAGCACGGAGGGGGGGGGGCGGGTCGGCCTGGGGGCGGGAGCGGCGCCAACTCCACCTTCGAGACCTGCCGCTCGCCTCCCGGGCCGCCCCCCCCCCCCCACCACGCATCAACAAGAGGAGCCGCGGGCCGGCCTGGGGGGCGGGAGCGGCATCGTCTCCAACTTCGAGACCTGCTGCTCGCCTCCCGGGCCGGCAGAAAAGCACAAAGGGGGGCGGGTCGGCCTGGGGGCGGGGGTGGCACAAACTCCAACTTCGAGACCTGCCGCTCGCTCCCGGGCCGCCCCCCCCCCCCTCCCACCACGCATCAGCAAAAAAGGAGCCACGGGCCGGCCGGGGGGCGGGGGCGGCACCGTCTCCAACCTCGAGACCTGCCGCTCGCCTCCCGGGCCGGCAGAAAAGCACAAAAGGGGGGGCGGGTCGACCGGGGGGCGGAAGTGGCGCCAACTCCAACTTCGAGACCTGCCGCTCGCCTCCCGGGCCGCCCCCGCCCCCCCTCCCCACTTATCAACAGAAGAGAAGCCGCGGGCCGGCCTGGGGGGCGGGAGCGGCATCGTCTCCAACTTCGAGACCTGCTGCTCGCCTCCCGGGCCGGCAGAAACGCATAAAGAAGGAACCACGGGGCGGCCTGGGGGGCGGGGGCGGCACCGTCTCCAACCTCGAGATCTGCCGCTCGCCTCCCGGGCTGCCCCCCCCCCACGCATCAACAAAGGAGGAGCACGGGCTGGCCTGGGGACGGGGGCGGCGCAACCTCCAACTTCGAGACGTGCCGCTCGCTTCCCGGGCCGCCCCCCCCCCCACGCATCAACAAAGGGGACAAAAAAAAAAGTATTAAAAAATGATGATAATTCAAATTAAAAAAAAAAAAATGATGATAAAAAAAAATAATAAAAAATAAAGGAAAAAAATTATAATATCAAAAAAAAAGAAAAAAATATATATAAATAAAGGGAAAAAAAACTTCAGTATTATCACTGAAGTGTCAAATCTCTGAATGTTCCTTGTTTGTGTGACTGTTTATTGTGTGTGAAAATATGTGTCGAAGATATCAAAAGAGGCAAAAGAGGCAACAAAAAAAAAAGCCCACAAAAAAAAAATAATAATAAAGCCCACAAAAAAGCAAAAAAAAAATCCCTGAAGTGTCAAATCTCTGAATGTTCCTTGTTTGTGTGACTGTTTATTGTGTGTGAAAATATGTGTCGAAGATATCAAAAGAGGCAAAAGAGGCACCAAAAAAAAAAAAAAACCCACAAAAAAATATAATAATAAAGCCCACAAAAAAGCAATAATAATAATAATAAAATAAAAAAAGATAAAAAAAATATATAATAATAAAAGAAAAAAAAAAGATGAAAAACAAATCCAGAGTCCTTTCAGAGACCACAGCTGAAAGGACTCCCAGAATAATCTGCACATCCGGAGCGATGCCGTTGCGGCTTTACAGAAGGCCAGCGAGACCTATCTGGCCGACCTCTCCGAGGACACCGACCTCTGCGCTCTCCACACCAAGCGTGGTACCGTCACGCCAAAGACACGCCAGATGGCGCCATCAGTACCGCGACTCAGACCGCAGGAGCGCCATCAGTACCGCAGGAGGCCTGCCTCCTAGGAAGCCCAACCCCCGAAATACGACACGGCCGAAATCGCCCCTGGCGGCAGGCCGACTACCACAAAGACGAGACGAGACGAAAAATAGCCATAATTTCGGTATGTACTTACATGCCAGCAAGTAATTTATGACTCATTTGACCCAGCAATTCGTCCCGTCTCCCCTTAAGGCACCTTAAAGGCAGAAAGGCGCCTTTCTAAAAGCATAAAATTGTCCTTATAGTAGAAAATGGAAATCCTACCTTCGAGAGGGGGGGGGCACTCTAGTGTACCGTTGAGACTGGCGATTGCACCCAGGATCCTAGTTCTGATGCTCTCACACATGTCTCCCCTCACCGAAATACTAGATCCGCCACTGCTCAGTGATTTTTATTTTCATCAGCGCTGCTCGCTAACCTTATCGAAGAGCAGGATGGACAGGCATCAGGACAGGATGAGCAGCCGCATCGAAGAACAGGCAAAGCGGCACCCCGATTTCTAACTGATTCCTCGGTAGTAGGTATAGTCCTCTGCTGTTGTCGGTCCACGCGCGCTGTAACACAGGTCAGGTCCGGTTAGGTTCGAGCTGCAGCATCTAATTTAGGAGACGTGATTTAAAACTATAAATACATCGAATTTTCAAGGTCAATTTCTGATGGTGAATTTTCATAATAAACGAATTGACGTGAAACAGGGCAGATATCATTTAGGCCGGTTTGTGGTCAATTACAAGCAAATCCAATGGAAAATAGTTATAGGCTATTCATGTAGGAAACTAAGTACCTAACGGCTGGAATTAACCTGGAGTGAGTCTTGTTACTGGCGAATCATCTTTGACTTCATGGAAGCTGTGGGCGTCCACTCGTGGCAGGAGAGCGCAACTTGTTGCTTTGTGAGGATCAGGGAAGACACTGTTCCCACTGGAAGCGGTTCCGCTGCTGCGTCTTGATCAGGTTCAGGCTGGAGAAAACTCTCCGCGGCCGCGCTGGAGTGTGGCAGGGACAGGAGACCCTGCATCAGCTGGGCTACCTTTAGGAACGCCGCCTCGCCACTGCCATCCTTCAGCTTCTTCACCTCCGCCCAGTAGTCACACGCTGGCTTCTCCTTGTCTGGGAGCTGCTCCTGACGGATCATGGAAAACCATAATATACAACTAAACGCATCACACAATTATCAGAACTTACCACGGTCAGCATTCAGTAAACAACATAAGTAACGTGAAGAGGGCGCTCACAGGTCCGGATTGTATGGTGAGAAGAACGATAATTGGTGAGTAGGACACTGTAGGGGAGAGTGGGGCAAAGCGGCCACCCTAACGCTTCGCACGATGCCAACGCTTCATTTTTAAACTTGGAAAGATTCTTTCTATACCAATGTGATCCCTATTAAGTTGCCTTTTATTTCAACTGCGTTTTATTTCCAAAGGCGTTCACATATGAACGATATTGACAAAACTTTAAACCTACGCATATTGGCCACTTTGCCCCATACCCTGGGGCAAAGCGGCCACCGGCGTCTTCTCAAGTCCCGATATGAGAAACAAAATAGTTGCCTCGTGTACGACTAGGGTATTTGATGATGACAAGGTTAAGCGAGGATGGATGTTTACTTTATCATCTTCCATCTGTAGGTAAACAAAGAAAGGATTTTTATGAAAAAAAAAAAAACATTTAATTGCATTATTTGGTAACTCATGCAACTGAAAAGTGGCCAAGATGAATGCATGACGACACATTTGAATATAAATAATGTTTTTTATCCAGATGGAAGCAACTTATGGCCAATTGGGGGGGTGGCCACTTTGCCCCGGCCACTTTGCCCCGCGCATACCGTCCGAGACAAAAATATTCCAGTTTAGCTATTAGTGGGGTAAAAAACATTAAAATTGGTAGAATACATGTACGATAACCATGCAATGCATGGACAAGAACGCTTATAAAAATTCCAAACGGTTATGGAATAACATAACATTTAAAAATTGTCAACATAGTTGGTAACCTGGCAAGAAATGCTTTTCCGTGTTTCACAGAACAATGGTGATGGGCCTGAAACCCCGGTCTGGCTCAGTCGAACGACCGTGAAGAGAAGTATAATTGGAAACCATAAATTGGAACTGACGCCAGCTATGAAG